ATTTTTTGAGTGATTGAATAGTAATAAAAAAGATAGTATATCGTGCCTGACACCAGTGGACACCCTGGAGGCAATTGAATGAAAAGCAGCACTTAGAAGTCTAGCAACTCCCAGAGGAGCTGGGGTGCTCTGTGCAGCCCCTGCGGAAAGTCCAGAATAAAGGATGTGGTGGCCCCCAGCCCCACACTGGGGCTCCTGGTTGTCCCCAGTTTGCACGAGGCTGGAAACCGGGGGATTCTGTTCTACGGAAGGAGCTGAAACTTTTCTCCCCGAGAGTGTGGTGCTGCGAGGAAAACTGGAAAACTAGAGCATTTAAGCACCAGGTTCCTTGCACCTGAGGTTCCCAGCAGGTTTCCTCCGGAGGTGAAGCAGGACAAGTGACCACGCCCCACCAGGTTTCCTGATGCTGCTTTTCTTAAAGGAGCCCACCACCGAGTACTGACGCTTCTGTTTGGGGCCCTTGCTGACTCACAGCTGCTCACCTCATTCCACCCCGCACCCCCCTCCCACTGCCTAGACAACCATCTTAGAACATGGGTCAGGGAAACAGACACCCTAAGGCTCTTGGGTGCTCGGGTGCAGTGTAACCACTGACCTGCTTTAATATTAGGCAGCCGGGCAGCCACATCAGAGACTGCTCACAGTGACAGAAACAGACACGGGAATGAGGAACCCCAGAACTTTGCTGTTGGAGGGGCCAGTGTTCCGTGAATCAGAAGTTTCTGCTGGGCTGAAATGTGGGAATTCAGCCCTGGCCAGTTTGGCTCACAGACCGAAGAGTCACGGGTTCGATTCCAGACAAGGGCACGTACCTGGGTTGTGGTCAGTCCCCGGCCCTGGTCGGGTTTTGCGGGAGGCAACCAGTTGTGTCTCTCTCACATCGATGTCTCTCTCTCTCTCGCTTTCAAAGTTAAAGGGAAATATATCCTTGGGTGAGAAAAAATAAATAAAAAAATGAAATGTGGGAATTCTGCCCTGCCCATCTTGTGGCCGCCTCTTTGGATCCCTTAGGTGCCCAACCCTGGTGCCAGTGTCCCCAGGACCTGATTCCTTCTCTCCCAGATTGCACAGGGCTTAGTCACAGAGCAAATGCACCCTGGAGCAGTGGCATGTAGGAAGTGATACCATCAGAGGTCGAAACACTGGCCTGTGTCTGGCCAGCCCGTCCATCTGGGCTCCTGAGTTAGCCTGTGAACAGCGAGGCCACCCACTGAGGGTTAGTACTTTCCTCCTGCCTGCTGGACCCCAGGCCATGGACTGCAGTTCCCTGATGCAGTGCACACCGGCCACTGAGTGTGTCTGTGTCAACCTCTGCAAATACAGCAGGAGGCAGAAGGGACCTGGGTCACCCCTGAGGCACAAGGATGCTGCTGATCTTATTTTCTGATACCCGAAATTGTTGAATTGATGCCATAAACATACCAGACAAAAACAAACGGAAGAAAGCCAGGACAGAGAAGGGCCTTGGGTTTCTAGGAGGAGAGAGAGGAAAAGAACAGCACCTCGGCCTACTGTTGGTGACAGGGGAAGGCCACCCCGAAAGGGACACTGCCAGTTCTGGCACCTTCAGTGGAGGAGGGGAACAGGGTTCGCACAGCCAGTGGGACAGGCTGGTGCACTCACTCGTTTGTGCTGCTTTTGAGGCCACTCCGGTGCTTATTGGCTTATTTTGAGGATTCTATGTTTCACCCACGCTCATCTTGGGGTACCTGCCAGGAACCTGGGGGTATTAGAGACCCCCTTTCTATTTATGGAGTCTCTCAGCTCACAATCTAAAATCAGTAAGATGAATTCCAGAAACGCTGCAATTGAAAGTCAGGCTAAACAAATCCCTAACGGAAAAGAAAACTGCCTTACTGTTTGCCCCAAATCTGCAATAATAAAAAAAGGTAGCATTCTTGCAGACTTTCAGAGTATATCTTTTATCATATTAAGGGGACAATTCCTTGAATCATTTGATTGTGGTTTTTAATTTTTTTCCCTCATAGCACAGAGACTAGAAATCTAAGAAGAAATCAAGGATTCTGAAAGGAATTACACCTGCAGGGGCCATGGATGCAAACAACCAAAGATACTCAAGTAGAGACCCCTCAGTGGCAAATTCGCGGGGGTACCAGGAGGAGGCCCCCCTCAGACAGGTGACAGCTATTCTGAGGTCCTTGCCCCGCCTGCAATCTCCAAGGGTTTGGGAATGGCCACAGCCCCAAATGGGCTGTGCAGGAAGGGCGGGGAGCAGGGGTCAAGTGCACCTGGGGCCAGGGACCTTCTCTGGGAAGGCAGCTTCATCCAGCTTTTTGGCTGCAGTTTTTATTCAGTGATGAAAAAATGTTTCCAGCCAGCCAGGCATTTGCAAACACTTAAGACCTTTCAAAAGAGTTGGGCTAGCCCTAGGGCAGGTGGTTGGGAGGGGCAGAGGAGCCGGTTCACCTGAATGAGCCTGAGGAAAACTCTTCAGTCACAAAAGGAGAGACAGCAGGTGAGTGTATTCAGGTTCCTGACTTCTTCACTCTTCTTCCTGTTCTCCGTGGAACAGATTGGCGGGGCTCCCAGAAGAGGACAAAAGTGGCTGTAAACTATGCAGCTAGAAAGAAGTAAAAATATTCCTCCAAATTCTCACTGGATAAACCTGGGGCAGATAACGAGGGCATTTTTGAAAGACTAGGAAAACTTTGGAATTATTAGTGTCCTTGAAAGGCCTTTTCAAACAAAATGACCCACAAACCTCCGCCCAGGGAGGGGGTGATTGGGAAATATTTGGTCAAGCCTGCGATTGTGCACCAGGGGAGGCACGTCCGGTCCCTGAGGTGCCCTGGCCAGGCGAGCCTGTCTCCAGGCAGCTGCCCACGCACACACCGCAGCCTCCACTCTGCCAGGTTCCCCAGTTCCACATCCATTTCACCTAACTCTTGCTCCCCATCCCCTTCTGTGAAGTGGTATTTTTATTTAACACGAGGAAAAATTATTCTAGGCTAGACGCAGAATTGAAACCCTAAACTTTTGCCTTCCTAATGTTTAAAAAATACTAGTTGTGCCCTGGCCAGTTTGTCTCAGCGGTTAGAAGGTCGGCCCGCAGACAGGAGAGTCCTGGGTTCGGTTCCCGCTAAGGGCACGTACCTCGGTTGTAGTTTGTCCCCGGCCCCGGTTGGGGTCGTGTGGGTGGCAGCCACTTGATGTGTCTCTATCACATGGCTGTTTCTCTCTCTCTCGCATCCTCCCTCTTTATCTGAAGGTAAATGCAAAAATGTCCTCGGGTGAGGACAAAATAAAAAATAAAAAATACTAGTTGCCCATACCCCCTGTCTTCCCTTAGAAAACGTTTATTTTGTGATGAGCCCTAAAGAACATAAAGTGAACATCGATACCAATGTAAATTGTCCTCCGCTGCCACTTTTGTCCTCTCCCCTATAGTGGGGATAAGGCCACCAGGCACCTCAGTCCTAAGGGGCACAGGTCCTGCCCCACTGCCCCTCTGCAGCTCTGAGGAAACAGTGACTGGTCCAGGTAGCAGACAAAAGTAGCCAGTGCTATGGGACCTGCCAAGTGTCCAGTCTCACAAGGGGCGAAGTCCTCACCCCCTGTTGACTCCACCCACTGGCCCCTGGGGAGGGGCCGCTCCCCAAGGACAGGGTCTTTGCACTGACTGGTGTACTGAGCACCTCGCTGGTGTTCAGTGGCCACTTCTCAGATGAATGCACACCATCATGTGCTGCGCAGAGGGTGTTGCTGATGGGGTTTCCCGTTACTCTGGTCCCAAGAACCTGAGAACCTGAAGGCCTCAGTGAACGGAGTCCATTTCCACCTGGCCCTCTGCCCCTCTGGAAACCAGCCCGCTGGGCCTTTCTTCCCCTCCCCAGTTTGCTAGGTTCCTTCACCAAAGTGACTCCATCATAAAGGACCCCGACCTTCCTCCACAATCAGTTGGCTTCTGACAGTGTATCTGACGGAGAAAGGGCAGGGCTCCCCTGGGGTGGGGCAAGGACCCACTCCATCGGCCTGGGGCTGCAGCACCAGCACTTGCTGGGGACTCCAACCCCGGTGGTCACTGGCCAGAGATGCTGACCAGCTTTCTTGTGCTTGTTTCTAACTTGCTGAACAATTAAGATTGGAAACAAAACAAGGGAAATCAAAGTTGGGTGGTCCCGAAGTCCTCGAATAGATCGCTGCCATGCTCCAGAGGGTCCCCTGGCGGCGTGCGTTCATGCGGCACCTGCGAGTCCTCAAGGTTTCCCAGCCTCACCTGGTACTTTCCCGACTGGAGGCTCCAAGGCCGAGAGCTTCCAACGGAAACTGGAGGACAGACACATGGGACCCGCACTCTGATAACCAGGACCACAGAGTAGGAGCCCAAAGAGGACCCAGCTGTGCTGCACTTCGGGGTTTAGGAAACCGTCCTACACCGAGCCTTTTGGGTGGGTGCGAGAAGAGGGGGCATGCGCAAATGCGGCCGTGCGCGCGCGGGAGCATGCGGGAAGGCTGCGTCCCGGGGACGCAAGGGTTAAGCCGCTTGCAGAGCCTACGGAACCCGAAAGGGGGCGCGCGCCGGCGGGAACGCGGGCGCGGGCGGACCTCCGCGGGCCTTCGGCGTCCAGCGCCCCTGACGTCACCGCTCCGCGGTTGCCAGGGCGACGGCCTCATCAGCGCGCGCGTCAGAACCGCCTGTCTCTTGGCAACGACCCGATCTCCCGCTCTCCCTCCGCCTGGCGCTGAGCCGCGCGTCGTTCTGGCGTCAAAGCGACGTCAATGGGGCTGTATCAATCCAGTGCGGCGGCGGGGCGGGGCCGACGGGGGCGGGGCGGGGGCGGGGCGGAGCGGCCCAGGGGCGGGGCCTGGGCGGGGAGGCGGTGCGTGCGGCGGGGTGCGCGGCGCGGCCTCAGAGCTGACATGCGGCGCGGCCCGACCGGTAGCAGAGGCGGCGGCTCTGGAGATCCGAGCAGCAGGCACCCGAGCAACGCGAACGGCCAAGCGGTCGGCAGGCGCCGCGGGGCGAGCGGCGTCCCAGCCTCGGCGCCCCAGGGGCGGCGGAGGTGAGGCGACGGCCGGGGTGGCGCCGCGGGGCGCGGGGCGCCGGGCGGGCGGCCGGGTCTCCGGGCTCTGGTCTCCGGCGGCCCCGCGGGTGCGGGCCGGGACGCCGACTCCCCTTTGTTGTGGTGCAGCGGGAGCGGGTCCACGAGCCCTCGGGGTGAGGGGCTTCAGGGTTCGGGAGCAAACCGACCGCGGGCGGCGGGGTGCTCGGCCCGCTGGGTTCGGGGTTCGGGGTTCGGAAGGAGCCCGGCTGGGGGCCGGCGGGGGCGGGTCCACATGCCTGGCGGGGCTGAGGGGGCTCGGGGACTGGAATGGAACCGAATGCGGGGAGCGGGGTACGCCCGGCGGGACCGAAGCGCTCCAGGGTTCGGGGTAGAGCCGACCGGGCGACGAGGGGCTGGTGTAGCGGCGGGTCCGCGCGCCCCGCGGGGTAAGGGGTCCGGGGCACTGGAGTGGAGCCGACCGCGGGGGGCAGGGGGCAGGTGTAGCGGCGGGTCCGCGCGCCCCGCGGGGTAAGGGGTCCGGGGCACCTGGAGTGGAGCCGACCGCGGGGGGTAGGGGGGCAGGTGTAGCGGCGGGTCCGCGCGCCCCGCGGGGTAAGGGGTCCGGGGCACCTGGAGTGGAGCCGACCGCGGGGGGCAGGGGGCAGGTGTAGCGGCGGGTCCGCGCGCCCCGCGGGGTAAGGGGTCCGGGGCACTGGAGTGGAGCCGACCGGGCGGCGAGGGGCTGGTGTAGCGGCGGGTCCGCGCGCCCCGCGGGGTAAGGGGTCCGGGGCACTGGAGTGGAGCCGACCGCGGGGGGCAGGGGGCAGGTGTAGCGGCGGGTCCGCGCGCCCCGCGGGGTAAGGGGTCCGGGGCACTGGAGTGGAGCCGACCGGGCGACGAGGGGCTGGTGTAGCGGCGGGTCCGCGCGCCCCGCGGGGTAAGGGGTCCGGGGCACCTGGAGTGGAGCCGACCGCGGGGGGCAGGGGGCAGGTGTAGCGGCGGGTCCGCGCGCCCCGCGGGGTAAGGGGTCCGGGGCACTGGAGTGGAGCCGACCGCGGGGGCAGGGCGGCAGGGCGGTGGGTGTGGGTTGGGGTCGCTGAGCGCTCCTGCGTCCGCAGGTGCCGGGAGCCATGGTGATCATGTCGGAGTTCAGCGCGGCCCCGTCGGGTGTGGGCCAGGGCCAGCAGAAGCCGCTCCGGGTGGGCTTTTACGATATCGAGCGGACCCTGGGCAAGGGCAATTTCGCGGTGGTGAAGCTGGCCCGGCATCGAGTCACCAAAACCCAGGTGCGTGGGGCGGCAGGACCGACCTAGGGTGGACCCTGCCCGGGGTGGACCCTGCCCGGGGTGGACCCTGCCCCGGGGCAGCCAGCGGGGTGGGATCCCTGCCTGTAGGGTCCATCGGGTGAAGTCTAAACGTTGACAGTTTTTAGTATGGTAAAGAAGAAAAATGTTTTATATTATGACTGCATAATTTGTACAAATATTAGGGGACAGCAAAGAGGATAATGATCCAATACCTAGAGTGCAGTGCTCTCGGTTCCAGAGCCAAAGCCCTGCGAAGTGAGCCTGCATTCGTACAGTTATTGAACTTCAGCTATTTTAATGGTTACTTTAGTTAAACCCACTCCCCAACTTTTTGTTACTTCAGGGAAAAAGTATTTTAGAAATTAACTAGCAAAAAATGAAATGTGTAAAATAGGTTGAGAGTTTCTTTATAAAAACAAAAAAATATCTTTTTTTCTTTTAAAAATCTGTAGGTAGCAATAAAAATAATTGATAAAACACGCCTAGATTCAAGCAATTTGGAGAAAATATATCGTGAGGTTCAGATCATGAAGCTTCTGAATCATCCCCATATCATAAAGCTGTATCAGGTAAGGACTCAGGTTTGCCTTGAACTGGGACTTCTGGCAAGTGTATTAGTTTTTATTTCCAACAACCTAACTCTGCAGTTTCTGAAAGCTGCTTCTGTCTTTGGGTATATGTGGGAATCGGGGTTGGTTCTATAAAGTAACAGATTGATTTATAAGTGGTGAAGACTTATTTACAGTTATTTTCTTGCTTTTGGGTTATAATTGAGATTTGCTTCATGAAAATTTTATTTAGTATTATAATTTGTTCCCATTTTAAATGCATAGAGGTGGGATATTCTTACCCTTTACTCTGAAAATAAACAACCAGATCTATGTATTGACACAAGTCAAGAATTTAGTGTAGGACAAATTCCAGTGAAACTAGACACTTCTGCCTTTGCAGATAATTATTAAACTTTAAACCAGTTTTCATAAGCTTATCTTTGCAAAGCCATCAGTGAGCATTTGTCTTCCTCATGTAAACTATCCCATCAGAATGGAGAGATGAAAACACTTTTGCCCTGGTGAGAGCAAGAACTTCTTGTTTAATCCACATTCAGAATGGGCCTCACACTGTCCCTCTGTTGGTTTGTTTTGTGACTTTGTTTTTGTTCTCCTGTTGAAACGAATAAAGTATATCTTTGGAAAATAAGAGCTGGTTTAATTGGGACAGCAAAACAATCCCTTAGTGACCACCTCTGCAAAGATAAAATATGAAGTGTCATTCAAGAGAATACGTTCTTTGCAAATGCATGCTATTTCCTCCAGTTGTGTTAGCTGTGAGTTCCTTTTGGTGACTCTCATGAAACTCCGGGAGTCTGATATGCATGATATGAGTGTGTAGCTGGCAGGCTAGGTGTACAGTGGGCAGGAGAGAGGACTGTAATTGAAAATTATCCCACAGAGGCTCTTGACTCAGTTCAAATGAAGGTAGAGGTAGTCATCGGGGCTTGTGTTTCCAGAATGACAGTTTACTCATCATTGTGAAGTGCGGCATTCACATCACATGCTCTCTGGTTCGCATTTTGTTTCTGTTGTCATTTGTAAGTTGCCGTCTGGATAAGAAGTTTCCTCCCTGGTCACTGATGTCAGTGCCTGAGAAATGTGCCCAGCCTGTTTCCGCAGGAGTGGGCTGACCCCTGGCTGTTTTTGACTGAGTTGGAGGGATGAGCCAGAGAGTGGCCTCCTTGTCCCCCACTGGTCTCTGTGTGGAGTAGCCCCGTTGGCGATGCCTTGCCCACATGACCCAAGTTAAAGGTCTTTTCTGGGGTGAATTTTCTTATTGCTCTGTGTGCTGCTTTAACTGAGGGACAGCAACGACTGTTCTTAGCTTGGTTTTGACACTGGGTATCTGATTTTCTTCCAGCTGGCTCATGCCCAGAACCTTGGTGAGACACTAAACTCTTTCCTTGAGGTTTTTAAAAACTTAAAACACACTCTTCATTCTTTGTTGGTTGTTTTCATTGAGAAAAGGGATGAACTTATCACTCAGTCACACACACCGAGAGCAATGGTAGTGAAAATTCTAGCTAAACTGCATGGCGTTCACTTTTTAGATTTCCAACTCAAAGCAGTTGTCTTTAAAGTGTTTTTTTTTTTTTTGTAAGGAATAACTATATTTTGAACCCTGAAGAAATCTTTTTCTGTAAGAATGTATTACCTCTATCTCCCTCCCAAATAATTAAAAACATCTGGATATGAGTTATTTTATTTTCAGTACTAAGATTTGAATTTTACCTTGTTTCTTAGTTATATTTTAAATTCTTTAAAAAGTGTTTTTCAAAGTGAAAGAAAATTCTCAATCAGTAAGGGAAACTTTCGGGTGTACTTGACACTGGCTGTGGCTGTTAACACGACATGAGTAGTTCCCTGGACACAGCAGACTTGTCGCTTACCTGGCAAGCCTGCTTCTCGTGGCCTGCTCAGTCATGTTGCCACCACTTGTGAGGAGGGGTGTTTGCTCTCCACCGTTCAGCTGTGCTGGCCATTGGCTCAAATAATCTGCTGCTAGGTTTCTAGAAAAAAGCCCTCGCAGAACTCTCACAATCGCCTTTGCTTCTGTGGCCTCCAGAGTCCTCAGGTGGATGAGGCAGAGCGGGCTACAAATATGGTGGAGGAGGATTCTAATGCATTTAGATCTTTACTGAGAGCAGGTATATCAGGATAGGCAGGCCAGTAAGGAATTCACCTCTGATTTTTAAAACATTCTCTTTCTGAATAGGAATCCCCGTATTCGTTTCTTTATTGCAGAAGTTTTTCTTTTCTTTGCTTTCCAAAAGTAATTCATGCACTCATCTGGACGATAACAATCCCGTGGGGGTCAGTAGATTGTTTATACTGCTGGTATGTTCCCTTTTCGTGTGGTTAACCATTAGGCCTTTATTTTTTAGGTTATGGAAACAAAGGATATGCTTTACATTGTCACTGAATTTGCAAAAAATGGAGAAATGTTTGGTAAGCCACACTTATTTTTAATACCTGTTGAGAACAAATGGTGCTCATTTGTCAGGAACTGCTGCTGCAGTGTTTGGGTCTGCCCACCTTAAAATTCCACAGCTTTCTTCAGTCGTGCCCCAGGTAATTTGGTTCTGGTTCTGATGCTCCTCAGATTACTTGACTTCCCACGGGCACCTCAGTGAGAATGAAGCACGGAGGAAGTTCTGGCAGATTCTGTCAGCCGTGGAGTACTGCCACAGCCATCACATCGTGCACCGGGACCTCAAGACCGAGAATCTGCTGCTGGACGCCAACATGGACATCAAGCTGGCAGGTAAGGGTGGCGGTCGAGTCCCCCCGGAAGCGACGTCCTGTGGGCGGTGGGGGTGCTTGGATAAGCAAGGTCCCGGTGCTTTTGGCTTATGCACCCGTGAAACCGAGGCCCACACTGTTTCCACTGTAACTTCATCCTCTGTTTCTTTGTCTCTTAGACTTTGGATTTGGGAATTTCTACAAGTCAGGGGAGCCTCTGTCTACATGGTGTGGGAGCCCCCCGTACGCAGCCCCAGAAGTCTTCGAGGGGAAGGAGTACGAAGGCCCTCAGCTCGACATCTGGGTAGGAGCCCTGTGCGCAGCACGTGTTAGGTGCCAGTACTGTTAGTGTTAACCAGCTAGGGCATGCCGGTGCTGACTGTGCTGTCGGGTTGTTTGCAGAGCCTCGGTGTTGTGCTGTACGTCCTCGTCTGCGGCTCTCTCCCCTTCGATGGGCCCAGCCTGCCAGCCCTGCGGCAGCGGGTGCTTGAGGGCCGGTTCCGCATCCCCTTCTTCATGTCTCGAGGTAGGTGTGTGCTGAGCCTACCCAGGCGGGTGGGCAGGTGCTGTGGGGGCTGTTGGAGAACCTGGAATGGGAGTTTTGGAGGAGGAGGAGGTGGAGGAATTTATTTCCTGAAATGCCTGCTTGACTGTTTTGTGGGTCTATGAGTCAGGCCTGTGTTACCGAAGGGTGTTTACCTGCAAGAGAAACCCAACCCACGGGGTGTGTTTTCAGTGCCCTACTTATGGGCTGGACAGGCGCCTTCCGAGGGTGTCTCCCAGAGAGCCGGCTGAAGGCTTGGTCTCTGGAGTCCCCGCCCAGCGCGCAGCCTCACCTGCCCCACACTTGTGCTTTTCCTTCCGCTCACTGCAGATGTGAGCAGCTGACTTGTGTGGTCCCAGCAGAATGGGGAGTCTTAGTGGTCCCTGCAGGGACATTAGGGGGCTGTGTCCTCCTCAGAAACCCATCCCTCAGTGGGGGGCTCTCTTTGGTGGTCGGTCTGAGCCAACAGCACAGGCCAGTGCTCGTGGCCTTGGATTCTGTAGAATGGTCACTTGTCTGGTTGCCTGTGTGAAGGGAGTTTTGTCCCTTACAGGGCCGTGGTGGCAGCCCGGTGGGTGGTGGGGACCATGCACACAGGCAGCCTGCAGCAGGCTGAGCGCCTCCCTTGCCCCCCAGACTGTGAGACGCTGATCCGCCGCATGCTGGTGGTGGACCCGGCCAAGCGCATCAGCATCGCCCAGATCCGGCAGCACAGGTGGATGCAGGCCGACCCCACCCTGTGTCTCACCCGCCCCACCAGCACTGCGCTCAGCTACAACTCCAACCTGGGTGACTATGACGAACAGGTGCTGGGCATCATGCAGACCCTCGGGGTGGACCGGCAGAGGACCGTGGAGGTGAGCACCACCCCATCCCTCCCACACTTGGTTTTGACAGGAGATACTTGTTGGGGGTTGGGGGCGGCTTTATCAGGAAAAGCAGTCAGTCGCTAGTTGAGTTAAAATGGGAACATGGGCTAATTTAAGGGCCAGCTTGTCCACTCTTTTAAAGGATATTCTGGGCCACCCAAGAATAACCCTGGGAACAGCCTTGTCAGGGAGCCTCAGTGACTCGAGACGGACATCCCGAGGTGCCACTTGCACACGGGAGCCCTGCTGCTCCCGTCCCTCCTCTGCTCTGGCTCTGACCTGCTTCTCTGCCTCTCTCCCAGTCACTGCGGAGCAGCAGCTATAACCACTTTGCGGCCATCTATTACCTCCTGCTGGAGCGGCTGAAGGAGTACCGCAACAGCCCGCCGTCGGCCCGACCCGTCCCAGCCCGGCAGCAGAGGCCTAGAAGCTCTGATCACAGTGGTTTGGAGGTGAGAGGGGATCTCCTAAAGCCCGTCCCTGTGTCCCCTGAGTTAGGAATCCCTTGTGCAAATGTGCCTGGGACTGAGACACAGGCTGAGCCCGTCTTCCATTCATGTCTCCCCGCCCATTAAGTCCTGGATTGGGGGAGTCCCCTGTGAGCCCCAGATACATGGAGAAGAGGGGATGCTGGTCACTCTGTTGTTGAAGGTCAAGCCCCGCCTCCAGCCACTTGACCCTGGCACTGGGGTCTCAGTGCCTCCCTCGGAGGCTGCACGTGTTCTGAGCCTGGTCAGCTAGTGGCTGTCATCTGTTAATGCCAGAGTGAGGCCAGCATGGTCTTTCTTTCTATGCTTATGGCTGTCCCCAGAGCCATCTCCCTGATGGCATCTGTCTTTCGTTGCTGGCTAACAGGTGCCTCCGGAAAGCCTCCCGGGTGATGTTTTCCGGTCCTCCCTGCTGTGCCCGCAGCCCCAGACCTTGGGCCAGTCCATCCTGCAGGCCGAAATGGACTGCGACCTCCACAGCTCGCTCCAGTGTGTGAGTGTCTGCAGGGCAGCGTCTGGGATGGGAGCTTGTTTCATTCCCAGTGGTGGTGATTACCCCCATATAGGTCACACGGAACCCAGGGTCACTGGTTTATTCCTGTCCCATGTAGCCCTTGCTCTTCCCTGTGGATGCCAACTGCAACGGTGTGTTCCGGCATCGCTCGGTGTCCCCCAGCAGCCTGCTGGACACAACCATCAGTGAGGAGGTTAGGCAAGGCCAGGGCCTGAAGGAGGAGCCAGAGGCCCAGAGGCCCCTGCCTGGCAGCACGGGCCGGAGGCACACGCTAGCCGAGGTCTCCACCTTCTCCCCGTGCACCCCTCCATGTGAGTATCCACGTGCACAGGAGCGGAGCCCGGTGGGTGGGTCTGTGCTGGGACTGTAAGGGGTGATGAAGAACACATTTCTGCTGGGTGATTTCTGTGCATAGCTCTCAGGTCTGCCACCGGTTTAGCCCCTGAGGCCACAGGGTCACACTTAGGCATTCCATAAGGTTGGACAGTGGTGGGGATAGTGTGGGGTGTAGCTGCCCCCAAGTGCTGGGAGGATAGGTCCTCATCTCTGGCCCATCTGTGTCCTTTGGTCAGCTCCACCTATCAGCTGCAGCCAGGACCCGGGGCTGGCTGGCTCTCAGGGCTACCCAGCCTCCAGTGGCCTCTTGTCATCTGACTCCCACTCCCCCAAGGCTGAGCATAGATGTCAGGAGGCCAGTACAGCTGTGTGCCCCTGTCCGTGGGCCACAAGGGCTCTCTGAGGGCCTGGGAGTCCCTACAGTGGGTATGGGGAAGGCGGCAGAGCAGGTCCTTCTCCCATGAAAACTGTTGGGTGCTGGTGGGTCCCATTGGCTTGGGGATCATGAGCCTCCCTCCTCAAGCGCACCCTGCTCCTTCTGCAGGTATAGTCATCTCCTCCTCCGTGGCGAGTCCTTCGGAAGGCACCAGCTCTGACAGCTGTCTGACCTCGGCGGGTGACGGCCCAGCGGGGCTTAGCGGATGCCTGGCTGCTCAGGGGCTGGTGGGCACCTGCTCCCCGCTCAAACTGGCCTCACCGCTGCTGGGGGCCCAGTCTGCCACCCCAGTGCTACAGGCTCAGGGGGCCCTGGGAGGAGCTGCCCTGCTCCCCATCAGCTTCCAGGAAGGCCGGAGGGCTTCGGACACCTCACTCACTCAAGGTACCTTCTCCTTTCACTCCTTTTCGCCTTCCCCAGAACATGCTGTGTGGCCCTGGCAGGTGTCCCTTTGTCCCAGATGGCAGAGGTTCCCTCAGTGCTTAGCTGGGCCTGGGTGGAGCAGCAGTACTCCCTGGGCAGATCGAAGGTGCCACCCAGGCTCTTGACGGCCTGGTCTCCTGGGACAAAGTCACTTGGCCTCTAGTGGCTGGTCTTAAAAGCTCAAGAGACACTCGGATGCCAGGCAGCTGCTCCTGACCTGGAGGAGGCATGGGATCAGGGAGAGACCCTCCTCACCTGGCCGCCTGGGCTCTCTCCATGCCACCTAGGGCTTAGGGGGCTCTGAGCCCCCTCCCTAGTCCCATGGCACTGTTCATGCCCTTCTTCCACGGAGGATCCGTGGTCTGCCCAGACACATGCCTATTCGGTGTTGCAGCTGCTGCCCCAAACCAAACCTTAAAAGATGACTTCCTAACCCTGCAGGGGGCGGGGGTTATGAAAAGCGATTAGATGATCAGAGAGCACCCTCGGCCCTGTAGGAAAGCATACCAGTCCTTTTATCCATCATTTCCATGTTGCTTGTCCCTCCGCCCTCCTCCCTGTTCCCCACCATCTGGAAACCCCAGCCAGCTCTGGGCTGCTGGTCCTGGGCTGGGGGTGGAGGCCCACAGACCATGTTCATTTGTCTCTCCCCAGGCCTGAAAGCCTTCCGGCAACAGCTGAGGAAGAATGCGAGGACCAAGGGGTTTCTGGGCCTGAACAAAATCAAGGGACTGGCTCGCCAGGTGTGCCAGCCCTCTTCCAGTCGGGCCACACGGGGTGGCCTGAGCGCCTTCCAGTTGCCCACACAGAGCACGGGCCTGCATGGCAGTGGGGCCAGTGGCCGGGAGGGCAGGAGCCTACTGGAGGAGGTGCTGCACCAGCAAAGGTACGCTTGCTCCGTGTGGGTCTCTGACCTTGGCAGCACTCACGGTCATCGAGATTTCTTGAGCATCCTTGTTTCTTAAGCTCCCCCTTCTCCATGTAATCAGAGCGTGTTCCTCCCTGTCCTCAAGTGTGGGGCGATCTGTGGGGCCTTGTTCCCACAGATGGTGGCAGAGGTGGGGAGCAGTCGGGTTTTGTCACTTTGAAGCCTGTAAGTGGAGGATTGAGGGGGCAGTGAATAAAAATGTCACATCTGGGTGGCGTCTCCGAGCTGCTGTAGAGCACGGCGGAGAGTGGAAATGTCAGGAACTGCTCGGGGTTAGTCACGCTGGCATTTCATGTTCCGGGCAGCTCCAGCCAGCACTGCATGGGCGTGGACCGCGATGGTGTCTGAGCCTGGCCGGGTGGAGCTGTCAGGAGAGGCAGCGCTCAGAGCTGGCAGTGACCTGTTCCCCTCCCTGTTCCTTTGTGTCCCCCCAGGTTGCTCCAGTTACAGCACCAGCCAGCAGTCCTGCCCAGCTGCCAGCAGGCTCCACAGCTGCCCCCAGTCCCACTGGTCCTGACCACTTGTGACAGTGCCCTCCTCATGTCTGGACTCCAGAAGGAGCTAGGGCTGGGACCTGGCCCGATGCTGCCACCCCACCTCCTCCAGGCCGGGGTCTCCCCGGTGGCCTCAGCAGCCCAGCTCCTGGACACCCACCTGCACATCAGCACTGCCACGCCACCCCTCCCCGCCGCCACACCCCTGCAGCCACACTTTGCCATGCTGCCCCCGGGTTTTGACCCCATGGGGCTGCCGCAGGGGGACTGTGAGATGGAGGACTTGACCTCCGGCCAGCTGGGCACATTTGTCCTGGTGCAGTGAGGGACACCACCCGCCACCCTCTTCCCGCATGGGCTGCCGACTCCTCGAAGCAATAATCTCAGAGTATGTGAAGACGATTCTAGACTCAAAGCCAATAACTTCCTAGAAGCAAAACAAGCAATACGTTTGGTGTTTTGGCTTTTTAGTTTATTTTTTTGTTTTATTTTCTTGCACTGAGCAATTGCTACCATGAGTAGGGACTGGAAAGTTTCTGAAGAAAAATAATACTTGCGGGTGTGCCGTGGGGGTGGGTGGACAGGAGGGGGAGAAGGGAGAGGACAGGGCTAGCAGTGCTCCACTGTGAATCGGGGGCTGCAGGAGGGCACCATCAGCGCCCTCGCCCCTGGCATGCTGCGTCACGGAGGGCGTGGCCTGGGACGAAGCCACGGGGGAGCCGACGCCGAGGAAGCCAGCGAGTGCGTCTCTACCGCGTGTGCGTCTCCACCGCGTGCGCGTGCAGCGTTGAGTCGTAGCCTTTGTCACTGGACAGTTCTCCACTTCCTGAAACGTCTATGCTTCGAGCGGAAGCTGTGAACTTCGTGCTCTGTGTACCGGTCTGTAGCAGCTCCAACAGCCAGCCCTGGAGAGGGTAATCTGCAGGTCCTTGGGATTTTGTCCCCTGAAGTCAGAATACAGAGGATCACTTTTTCTTCTTTTAGATGAGAAGTTTCATAAAATGCTCGATGGTGGGTTCCGGGAGTCTTCCGAGGAGCCACGAGGAAGAACCTCAAAGGGGCGGGCTGGCTGCGGGGTAGGCTCTGTACGGGCACTTGGCATAGGGCCCGCAAGGGAAGTTACCTCCTGCCGTACATCTTATTTCCGCTGCTAATTAAGTTTTTATGCATTTCATTATCAGGGTCCAAAAAGAACAACTGACTGGGGGGATGTGCAATACGGTGAGGCCGGGCGGAGAGGAGCGGGCGTGAGGCCTGCTCGGGTCGCTCAATGGGCGGCCGCCTTCCCCAGGCCTGCACCTGTCAGGCTTCTTTCAAGAAAAAGATGAGAGGTCAGGTCATTCAAGTTGTGTTTCTTTTTAAGCAAATACTGTACATGTGTATAAATAGACAGATAGACACTACTTATTTTTTATATTTTTTACTACACCTTTGTGTTCCTGGTTTAAATTCCCCTCTGGCAATGTTACAAAGTGCGACACCAGGTCCGTGTGGAGGAGGAGACAAGGTGCGCCCTGCCTGGCAGGTAGCCTCAGGTGGTGGCCCAGGGGCCACGGGCTCTGCAGTGAAGGCAGGACCGCTACAGCGAGCTCCTGCTGCCCGCTCGGCGCTGGGCCCTGACCCCGGTGCCTGCCGCCCCCTTGGCTCGTACACCCTCAGTATTAAACGTGGTGACGGCCGGGGGAGGTGGGCATTTGTAAAAGCCAAAGATCACCGGAGTTTCTGGAGGGTGGGGAGGTGGTCCAGAGGGGTCACCGCCCCTGCCGCCCTGTGTCTGCCCAGCTTGCTGCTACTGCCCCTCCCACCGCCACCACTGCTGCTCTGGCGGCTTCAGTGACGGGGCGAAGGACTGTCCTTGCACCTGCCACTGAGAACTCTCCCAAGCCTCCACCGCTCGGAAGGTTGGGGACAGAACCCGGCATCATGGGGCAGCTGGGCCTCTGCTTCCATCGCACAGAGGCAGCAGCACGTGATCCAACACAGAACCCGCTCCCCTTTGGGATCAGTTTCTGTTCTAACGCCAGAGATCAAAGGCCTCAGAACCATGACAAGCACTTTACTTTCCCGTGGTTTTCTTTCTCGTTGCTGTAAGTCAAGGTGTGTGTCTTGTTTTTAGTGTGTGTGACGTGTTTTATAGGTTTCTCCACAGTGCTGTTCTCGAATGAATGCAGTAGCCTGTTAAAGGCACTCTGCGAGCTGATTAAGATGTATATGGTTTGTTTTTGTTTTTTACCATAACTGAATTAATTGTTTTGTTTCTTATGTTAACATGAGAAATGTATGCCAAATGATTAGTGGATGTATGTTTTTTAATTTAATATTTAAATAAAATATTTGGGGCAAAAAACCTTGACTTTGTCCCTTGGCTCTCTGGGAGCACCTTCCCTCCAAGCGGCTTCGCTGAGGCCAGTCCTCCGGGCTCATGATGTGTCAGATCTTAGGGGCTGGTGCCAGCTCCTGCACCCGCCTCCCCGCAGAGAGCTGGCAGCGACCTAGCCGCACGCACTCCCTCCCCTGAGTGGTGGCAGCTCACCATGGCCGGGGCCCAGGGAGGAGGGTGTGCCGGCCTCGCTGGTTCTCAGACCCCTTCCGCAGGGGCGGGCTCTGCTCATCTGAATGTCTACACGCTCACGTCCGCTTGCAGCTGGTCCTTCCCTTCCCAGGGCACCATTCGCTCTTGACTCCCTGTCACGGTCTCTGAGTCAAGTTGAAGTCAGGTTTGGAGACTGACAGGCAAACTCCTGGTCTCTCCAAGTTGCTTTCCCACCTTCTGGCAGTAGGGTGGACACGACCACCAAAGAACAAAGGACCCTCTTCATTCTGTACCTGGCAAATACCTTTTGGTTAAAGTTTTTAACTTTTTCTCACCATTGGGATGGTCATTCTCACACACGTAAAGCAAGTGTTGCGAGGGTGGAGACACCGACACCTTCCAGCGTGCTGCTGGTTGGAGGCAGGCTGGCCGTTCTTTAGCAACTTAAACAGCCACCATGGGGCCCAGCCACCCCACTGCTGGGCTCAGACACGGACTGAGTGCAGGGATGGAGCAGATGCGTGCACCCTGTGCTCATGGTGGCACTGCTCACAGAGCCAAGGGGTAGGAGCTGCCAGGTGTCCCTGCAGGGCGATTAGATACGCAAGGTCCCTCCACTCAATGGAATAGTCTTCCGCCTTAAGGAAAATCTGACGTGCCACCTGGAGGACATCAGGCAGGCACAAAAGGACAAACGCTGGGATTCCACTTCAGTGACTCCATAGAGGAGTCAGATGCCCAGGGACAGTAGGGTGGTGGAGTTTTTGTCCGGGAAGATGGAAAGTTCTGGAGATGGATGGTGGTGATGGTTGTACAACAATGTGAATGTACCTAATGCACCTGAACTGTGTACTTAGAAATGGTGAAGATGCTAAATTTTAAGTTATGTGTACTGTACCACAACGAAAAGAAAAAAGGTCCTTTTGGGGGAGACGCCCAGACAGTTCTGGACAGCGCTTTCCCCGTGGGGCGCCGGTCTCCAGGGCGAGCCTGAGCGAGCGAGGCCCGGAGCTCAGAGGCTGCAGGAGTCAGATCGCAGGGCATCCGTGAGGTCAGAGTGTCTCCATGGCCTTTGTGTGTGGAAGGACATGTCGAGTGCTGCTGAAATGCAGCCAGTGGGTCTGAGAGGCCAATGGGAGCTCTCGGTTTTGGGGGTGAGGCCCAGTCAGTGTCTCCCTGTTTTCTGAGGAGTGTTGTCAGGGCAGCTTGAGTGAGAACAGTTTGTACCTCTGAGCTGTGACCACACCCCAGGAAAGCTCCGAGCCCCAGCAGATGCCAGTGCTGGGCTTCACTCCTGGGGGGCACACACAGCACCGGCCTGGAGAGCGGGGCCCGGGCTGTTTGCTGTGGGGAAGACTGAAGGGCAACCTCAGTTCACCGTTCGGGGTGTCGAGTCTTGTCAATTGCATGCGTATCTTGGCTCCTCAAGTAGGCGATTCCCTCCTGTTGGGCCCATCGGACCACGTCCTACCCCCCAGCATGGTCTCCTCCGGGCATGTGGCGGTTAAGGGACTACCGTGTTCACCCACTGGGTTCTTTTGGAACTTATGATATGTCCTGATCATCATCATCTTAACAACAACAGTTCTTAGGATCCTCAGGTTGGAAATTTCAACCCTGTTCGGGGAGCCTGACGCGGACCCAGGCTTATTGATCTGCCCACAGGCCATTTCCCGTCCTGCAGATGAAGAGGGACCAGGTGGCTGTGGGTTCAGCGTGGCCACAGGACTCGGTGGGGCTGGCTGTGTGTTCAGTGACCCCTCTCTGGGCCCCACCACCTGCGTCTTGCTCTGCCAACATCTCTGCCACGGATGACCGCACCTGCTGGGCATTTCGCAAGATGTTGATTGTGGATGTGTTCGTTCCTGTCGGGGTGTGGCACGGCTGGCGTGCCTCAGCGCCTCCCTGGGCACGTGACCACACCTGGCGGCCACCTGGGGGTTCTGAGATTTCCTTCCTCCCGACTCCTCTGGTGAGGGTCTGGGTACAGCCTGGGGCCGTGAGTACTGCAGACCAACTGGCTGCGTGAGTCCTTGCTAATACGAGGCAGAGCCAAGCTCAGTGGACTTGACACACTGAGGAGCACATGGCCTAAGGAGGTGGCCTGGCCTGGACTGATGTGGCTCAGTGGTTAGAGTGTGTGCCCGCACACTGAATGTTTGATCCCCGGTCAAGGGCATGTACCTGGGTTGAGATTTGATCCCTGACCCCGGTTGGGGTGCGTGTGGGGGGCAACTGATCGATGTGTCTGTCACATCAATGTTTCTTTCTCTCTCTTCCTTCCACTCCCTCCCTTCCATTCCCTAAAAATCAATGGGAAAAATATCCTCAGATGAGGATTAACCAAGAAAACACAAGAGTCACCTTGATGTCAGACGCAACTGGGTTTGGTCCCCACTCCGCGGCTTCCTGTCCTGTGACCGGACGATGACCGCGCAGTGTGTTGGCGTTCTCGTTTTCAAGGTGGCGCACGTGACAGTGCCGTCTGCTTCTCGGGTCGTGAGAACACGCTCCCAGAGCCGCTCAGCGCGCCTGGCCAGCAGTGCGCGTGCCCTGGGCGCCCGCGGTGTCATCGCAGCCAGGGGCGGGTGTCCCCAGGGGAGGAAGCGGCAGAGGACCAGGTCCCCTGTCTCAGTGCTGGTGCTCGAAATGCTGACTCCTCCCACAGGAAACAGAAGGCCTTCACCTAAAGCAGCCCAGGTGCCACCCCTGTGTTCCCGTCACGCAGAACTGCAGGGCCACGGGGTCATGTGTGCTGGTGCATACCCTGCCTTCAGGAGGGAGTCCTGCGAGTCCAGCAGTGCGGTCGCTCAGGAATGAGATCAGGGGCGAGGGGAGGGCTGGGCCGGCGTGGAGGGGGTTCTAGGCAGAGAGGAGGCTCCTCTCACTCAGCGGCAGGAACCGAATCTGACTTAAGAGGAACTGACTTGTTTGGGGCGGAAGAAAAAGTGCTGGCGTTTGGGTTTCCTTCCAGAATAATAATACCAGGGTGTTTCTGTGGTCAGGGCAGGGCGCACAGGCTGTCCTGTGGCATAACCTTTGATCTTGGCGGGAGGGTCGCGAAGAGCTTATCAGGGTGGGGAGTTCTTTAAGGCCCCCTGCAGTGTCCAAGGTCTGGCTCTGTGGGCTGCTGCCAGGCTGAGGGAACAGAACCGGAAACCACCTAGGGGCCTGGAATCTGGGCTCAGGGCTGTGTAGGCAGCGATGAGGGTGGGGGAGGGAGGAAGGGGAAGGGGAGGAGGGGGAGGAGGGGGAGGAGGGGAGAGAGCATGGCAGCTCCCCTCCTCAGGGGAACTCCCCTGGTCTGTCTGACTCACTGCTCTTCAATTAGTATTTCACTCATTTGAATGGGATTTCTGTAAAAAATAGAAAAGATCACCCGGCCAGTGTGGCTCGGTGGTTGAGCGTCGACCCTGCACCCAGAGGTCGCCAGTTCAATTTCAGGTCAGGGCACATGCCCAGGTTGTGGGCCTGATCCCCAGTGGGGGGCGTGCAGGAGGTGGCCAATTGATGTTCTGTCTCATTCATGTCTATCTCTCTCCCTCTCTCTTCCTCTCGCTCTAAAATCAATAGAGACGAGTTCTTTTAAAAATGCAGAAAGGACTGGGCATCACTCGGGAAGCCCAGGCGGCCAGTGTTCCGCCCCCTTCACGCTGCAAGTTGTGTGGTGGGGAGTCCACGCGCTCCAGGCCAGCCCGGCTGCCCCAGCAGGCGTCGGGGGTTTTGCTGTCGTTAAACCTGAGAGGGATAGTATCTTCCTTCCTTCGTGGAGAAGTGCGTCCACTTCCAGCAAGCAAGGGGTTAAGTCCCGGGTCCCACCGGACTGAGGGTGCAAGGCTGTGAGGGACAAGGGATGTGAGTGCCCCTCGGGAGTCGCATACCCCGGAACAACTCACCTGCCAAGGTGTGACTGACACGCGTAGGACGCACCTATGACGAGGGAAAGGTTCTGTGAGCGTGCAGACCTCGGTGACCACCGCCAGCACCCGGGACATTTCTGTCACCTTGGATCTGTTCGCACTGTCGAGAATTGTCTACGAACGGTCACACAGTGCGTGGCATCTTTCATCAGCATAATTCGGCGGAAACGCGTCCAGGTGTTGCATGTATCGCTGGTTCAGGCTTTTACCGCTGAGGGGTGCTGGGCGGTGCGGACGAACAAGAGTCTGTGTCCACTCACCTGCGGGGGGCGTTCGGGCTGTTTCCAGTTTGGGGCTGTTCTGCTCGGTGCTCTGTGAGCACGTGTGTGAGTCTCCGTGCGGACTGTCTCCTTTCTCTTGGGGAACAGGTGGAGACAATGTTGCACCATCAGAATGATAGCTAGCCCCTCCGAAGAAGCTGCCAGGGTCACCGCCTGGGGGCAGAGCTCACATTCCTCGCTGTCCGCGTCCCAGGGGCTCCGACCCGCGCCAGCTCTGGCCAATGTCAGTCTCGATCAGACTGTCAGGACGGCCAGAACCTAGGAGGTCCGTAGGGCCGTCTTGTCGTGAGTCTGCATTTTCCTGGCGGACAGTGGTGTCTAACATCTTCTTATGTGGTAATTGGCCATTCTACTTCTCGTGTTTATTCAAGTCTTTGACAATTTTTAATTGGTTTTTCTTTTTAATTCTTATTATTGAGTTGTAGGAGTTTATATATTCTGCATATATTTTTGGTCATGTATGTATCTGTATACATGTGTATATGTATATATATATATATATATATACACACACACACACATGACTATACATACATATGTAGATATATACACACACACCTGCATGTATATGTACACACACACAGAATATTTCTCCCATC